GCAAATTCTCATTGTTGTGGTTTGTTGTTCTTGCTACTTTTTAATGTTCGAAATGCTGTGCTGAAAGGGAAGAATTAAAATTAATACCTAAGTAGGAATTATTAATCACATCGATTTCGATATATATCTAGTCCTATTTTCGTAAAATTTCCCACCGAAGCATTTTTATGCCGGATTCCTTGAACTTCTTTCGAGAAAATTTTTAGTTATGGATTTATATGTATTTCGACATAGCTCCCATATAAAAGTCCCAACCCATTTTTGGTATATTGAGGGTTTTAGCGATTTTTGCCAAACTAATGAGTTGCTTTTCGCAGACAATTTTTCGATATAGGTTCATGTTTTATCATAGCCTTGAAATACATGTTCCGCTCCATTTTCTTTACTTTTTATATGTTCTAGACTCATTTTCTAAGCGACATATTTTATACGAAAGCATTTCGAGTTTCCGGAGGAAAAAATACTGTTACGAATATAACTTTAGATTTAAGTTAATTTAGATGAATTCCGTTAATTTAAGAATTTGAATTGTAACGTAAATTTCTACTACGCAGTTTATTTGAATAACTTCACAACAACAACCACTGTATAGATTTTTCTACATCCTTCCATTTCCTCTTTCATTTTCTATTTTGTTATTGTCGTACAATTCTTGTTAAACGTCATTCCTCTTTCTTTGTTATTCCCTCGCCTGTATATGTGTTGTTGTTATTCCTCTTTCTTTGTTATTCCCTCGCCTGTATATGTGTTGTTGTTATTGTAAGTTTGTTTACTCAAGTTTGTTGTTGTTATTGTTCACTCAGTAAGTTTGTTGTTGTTATTGTTACTCAATGTGTTTGTTGCATTGGTAGATTGTTCGTGATCTAGGTGTTACCAGATCGTCTAGAAACTTCTGTAGCGACAGGCAGGGCTCATATAAATAGAGGGAATGGAAAGGCAGTTGTCAGTTGTGAATCAGATCGCGAATTGAAACCGTCGTGTAAAGTAAAGTGCAAAGTAAAGTTGTGTGAATAAAGTCATTGTAATAATCGTAATCTGAAAGAACCCGCGTTTTATTTGATACGAACTGTATCGGGAAATAAAACAACGTCTACACGGGAATAAGTGAAGTCCAAGAACGTAACAATACCTTTTGCAGAATATGTTCAATATTGGTCGTTTGATCATATTCCACATAGGTTATTGAATTTATAGGTATTGAATTTAGGTTAATATGTTTCGAAATTTTGTTTACTCCACGATGCAATAAAAATGTATTTAATTAATATATATTAAAGTATATTAAATTGATAATTAGTTAAAATGGTGCCTTTGTGCCATTAGTCGGCACTTTTTTCCAATTGTCGGCATGACATGTTCCAATAGTCGGCATGTCGCATTTTAGTTTAACAAAAATTATATATTAAATCGATTTTTCTGGTATTTGCATTAATAAATTATTATTATTATTGAACGTTTTAATCAGTGTTGTATTAAAAAAATTATATAAAATAATTTTATTTATTAAAATATTACAATTATAAAACATGGTGCCAACTTTGGGAACCTGTTATCCAATTATCGGCATGGCTAAATAACGCATTTCAGAGGTTAAAGGAATTAAAGATTAAAACCATGTATTATATTATGTAAAACTATTCTATACTGATTTTTTTATAAATGAATCGGTATTTAGAGTACTTATATAACATTTTTTCCAATTTTGAGCCAAAATGGTCGAAATTCTGTTAATTATTCACCCATATGCCGAGTATAGGACAACCTCAATAATTGTTGTTCCTAAGGTCGGCATAGATAAAAATATTATAAATATAAATATTTTTTAATAATTTTAAATTCTAAAGTGTTCTCTTGTATGTTCTTTAAAACTACGAAAATGCTCCTTGTGAAAAATATATAATTTTAATGTAATTACTAGTCTTTTAATATCGACATGCCCACTAATTTTTTCCCTCATTGACAAAATGCAGAATTTTGGCTGAATAAATGTACTTAGCTCGATGAAATTTTACATGGAGAAAGGATGCAATATTTTTGAAGATTATTCAAGGTACTTTTCATATTTGGTTATAGGATTTTTTAGTTATTTGAAGTTATATACAACAGATGCCGACTATTGGTACATGCCGGAATTAGGTGCGTTTACCCTATAAACGCGCCGAAACATTCTGAATTCAAATACCGTATTCAAAATACCAATAATCAGAGGTTGTTTTCCTGCAACAGAAAATCTTGACAGCAAAGGAAGACTATTGTACGAATTCGCCTACTGTGACATCATGTGAATATGACATTAATAACGGAGATTTTTAATCGTAATCATAATGGAATTTGATCGTTATCATCTGTTTTAGACATTTTTTACAACAGATAACTTCCATTGACTTAACCTCTGACAGAAAGGAATACTATATTACAAGGATCCGGTATAATTTTCATTACCTAAGCGTCTGTAATATGGTATTCCATTCTGTCAGAGCTTAAAATATCGCTTTAGGTATTTAAATTTTCGTTATTATAGCCTGGTAAATGATCAATCCATGGCAATCTAAGCCGATCTCCGACGCTTGAATACATAAAATAATATTGAATTGTATCAAGGCCCATTTCAACAGGTCAATCGAAATAAGTCATTCTGATCTTAAATGTTCTAGCCAGCAGTTTGACAGCATGAATGATATGTATCATCTGGTCTGCTGAGGAAAATATAATTAAGCAGAACAATATGACATTTGTTTGTTTGGATATTCAATGAGCGAATATGTACCTACCTACCTCTTTCTGATATTATCTGAAGATGATTTAAAGCTCAACAGGAATTAAAAGTCTTCTTCAGATGGTTTGACATTAGAGGTATTTCCTCGAGAGAAATTTGTCTTCCTTTAAGAGATAAATGATGCTCAGTTGTTTCTGTTACACTTACTCTTTCAACAGTTCGCTGAAAGTCTTAATTTCTCAAAATGTTTAAATATCTGCTCTTTTCTTATTTATTGATAAATATAAAAAGCTATTTTGTTTACGTTCAGATGAGGCGAATTAAATAATTTGCTCTTCTTCTTTTGATCAGTGACACTCACTAAGTTTTGATAACACCTAGTGAAAGAATGCCACCTCTCATATTGTCAAGGGATTTTAAGCGAGAGGACAATTCCAAATGTCAGGCTATATAAAAGTTGATGTCCTTTCTGTTTATTCCAGATCAAGATCTATTAATAAGGTCACCAAGGTAGCAATCGAAATCGGAAAACAGCTGTTTCTTCTCAAGTCTAATGTCAAAAATTTCGACTTTGTTTACGTTTTCATAATGGAAGTCAATTCACAATAATGAATTTTGACAGCAAACTTGAGAGGTATTGATTTCCTGGTGGTCTCCCTGGGTGACCTTATTTATAGGCCATGTTCCAGATGCTGGTATTTAGAAAGGAGAAGCAATGTGAAGTCAGAACGAAGTCCATTGTGTTTATTTTGTATAACTGGAATGAAAAAAATAAAAGCTTTTGTCACCAAAGAAAAAATGCACCTCTACGTTGTGTGCTATAATGACAGAATAAACAAATGGATTATTGAATATCTTTTTTACACATTTCAAAACATTACATACACAGTCACAGATTTTGTATACGACTTTGGCATAATAAGCCACAATATGGAAAAAATTTTAATTTTTAAGTAGCTATGGCTTACCTTGAATAATTGTACCATGCAACCTGGTAATTATTGTACCATGGTTTCATCCCATAGCATAAAGTCAGAAGGTAGTCTCATTTGAGAATTTTATAATGACAATCCTTTTTAATTTGGAACTCATCTATCAATTTTAAATAATAACAAAAATAAATTCCATAAAAATGTATGTATGTCGATTGGAATATTTTTAATAATTTAAACAAATTATATTTAGTAAATATGAACATTGCTCTCAAGATTTAACCTGATTGTTACATCCTTTATTTATAAGTTTTAGAGGCAAGGTACTTCAAAATATCTAAAAATATAAATTATTTAGACATTTTTGCCACTGAACACATAATTTGCGAATGAAGATATTTTCATTTAAATTTTGAAATCGAATACTGTCAAAGGCAAATTTATGAAAACATTTGAAACATATCACTGCATGAGAATACCTTGTATAATTATGCCATGAAACAAATCGACTTTCAAATATATTTTGTTATATTTTTCAAAACATTACACACACAGTCACACATCAGGGTTTATTTTCTTAATCGGGCGGAATTTAACATGATTTATCATACAAATTTAAATCATTGTGCGGCAATGTTTTTTAAATCATAATCGAAATCGTGATACTAATGAGATGCAACGCGGTTTTTGTAAGAAAAAGTACAACTCACCCACACTGTACCAAAATTTGCAACTGTTGTCACATGTTGTATGTTTTTATATTTCAACTTTCTACTGAAATGACAGATGTCGAATTCAAATCCCACACTTTTGAAACCACGATAGGGATAACGCTTGATATATATATATATATATAGTCTTGATTTAGATTAGGCGAGTTTACTTGCGGCAATTCTTGTCGTTCTCTTTTGAACTTGGTTCATGCGTCTATACAAGGCAATTCGGTTTCCAAAATATGTTTCTATTTGTTGTTTTTTTACATTTAAATATATATAAAACGTCAACAAATACGAAATACACAAAACAAATTGCCAGAAAATTGTCGGTACGAGCAATTTTTTTTCATTTCTATTCCCCTTGCCCCTCTCTCCAACAAACAAAGACTTGCCGCAAGTAAACTCGCCTAATCTAAATCAGGACTTATTTAAATGTGATAACAGTTCAATTCTGTCTGCCTGCTTGACAGGCTGTAGGGCTACCCTACAATTTCGTGTTATCAATTATCTGTGAATGCCAATTTGTTTGATGAAGAAGCATCAAAACAAATCACACGTGTTTTAGTTTAGTTCTATCACTTTGTTGCAGAATTTTTCATTTAATTTGTAAAAAAATTAAATAAAATAATCCATTAAATGGCTGCCAACAATACGCTGGAGGTACTCTTTGTGAGTAACACCAACGATAATCAATTATCCTGCTCGGCATGGGATTTTCGTACCGGTACAAATTTAATGAATTATAAGGGAGGCGGAGGTGGTGCTGCTCTACATACCCTCTCGGTTCTACGTTCCGAGTACATTGTGGCTGGCAATCAAACTAAACCGCTGTTACATGTTTGGCCCATAAATGCTCAGGAACAAATGACGGCCATACGTTTTGTTGTCCCGGGAACAGTTACGGCTTTGGCTTTATCGCCCGATGGCAGTTATATGGTGGCTGGTATACAGGAAACCCTTTATGTATGGCATGTTTTGACAGGTCGTATGATGAATACACTGTCAAAACATTATCAGACTGTGACCTGTGTTAAGTTCACCAGTGACGGATCACATTTTGTAAGTTGCGGTAAGGATGGTGCAGTTTTGGTGTGGAATCTTACACGTGTGGTGGCACATGAGGAAAATTTGGCTCCATTGTACACCTTCAATGATCATGGATTGCCTGTGACAGATGTTTATGTTGGTACTGGTGGTATGAGGGGATATATGTTTACCGTTTCCCTAGATCGTTCGTGTAAAATATACGATTTGAATAGTGGAACTCTGCTCTTGAGTGTTGTCTTTGCTGAGGGTCTACAAAGTGTGACGGTAAATGCATTGGAAACTCAAGTGTTTGTGGGCACAAATTCTGGAAGTATTTTCGATTTCTTTATTAATGATGTGCCCAGAGTGAAGGTGAGTTTAATTGTGTTGATTTTTTATATGGGCCGCTTTTTAAGTAAATTTGTATCTATTTTCAGGAATATCATTTTGAAGAGGCTCCAAAACAATTCATTGGTCACACCAAACCCAGTGTAGTAAATTGTTTAGCATTATCTGCTGATGGCAAGACATTGGTATCGGGAGCCAGCGATAGCCAAGTGCTTGTATGGAATATATCCAGTAGGCAATTGTTGAAGACATTAACATTTAAGGGAGCCATTACAAATCTTCATTTGAAACTTACCAATCCTGCCATCTTTAATCCCGAACACAAACAACCATTAGTTTTTTCAGCCAGTTTAAAACGTATGATTGATCCGGAAGGTGCTGAGGAAATGCCCATCGAAGTTATGGTTGATTCCAATACATTTGATGATGAATGTGATTATAACACCACAAGACAATTATCGCAAGCATCACCTAGTGCATACCCATTAACAAGCTCAGGGGTCCTGACTACAACCACAGACACAAAATCCGAAGACAAAGAAGAATTAAAGGCCTTGCGCCAAGAAATCGATAGACTGCGCCACATAAATAAGAAACTTTTTGAAGTTTCCAGCAAACAATTGTTACGCGCTCAAAAACGTAAATAGATTAAGTTTTAGTATTGTAAATATAATTTTTGTATATTCTCCTCTACTCAATTATAACATTTTGACTCGTAAACTGTTTTTTCAACAACTACTTTATTTTTATTGATAAAATAAACAAACAAACAAATCACCCATATTTAATACTTTGTCTTTTGTATTTTTTTATTTGTACACATTTCCTACTCATCTTTCTGCTCTTGTACATCCAAATTATCTACACCGAATGTGGCATTTTCCATTGCCAGCTCTTGTCGTATTTCACGATTCGAATGTAGCAATTCTTTCAGTTGCTCAATAATATTGTCCGTCCGCTGTTCAAAGAAATCCAATGCCGAACTTAGCTCATCCAGGCTGTCGTTTACGGCCTCCATCTCTGCAACAAAATGAAGGAGGGAAACATGTTATTATTGTTGGGTTTAAGCAGTTATCCTGTGTGGAATTTATTTACCTTGAATATCAGCATCCTCGACATTGTTTCTAGGATTCTCGGAAGGATCATCATTGTTTTTGGGCGACATGTTCATGTTTTCATATTGTCACCTGACTGCTGTCAGATTGAATGTCATTTTGTAGAACTGTGTTCAGTTGGTTTTGCATCAGAGATGGATGTGTGCAATCATTCGATATTAATTGACTGTGCTTAGGGTGATTCTTAATTTAAGCCGTAGATGTAAATATGTTGGCAATTGGGATTAACGTAATACCATGATATAATTACTACAATGTAGGACATTGCTACTATTTGATTAACATTTTTTAAAGGAAGCTTGCTCTATCAAATCAAAGTACACATTTTTTGTATTTGTGTGTATTGTTTTGGGAGACGTAGGGGGATTATTGTTACAAACAACGGCTCTAATTGGCTTTGAGATGACAAAGCTCAGGCTTCTCTTGGTCCCTCTTTCACAATTGTGCAAACTGACCTCCCTTCCGTGTCACCTGGACTAGCTACCTTCATCACCCGTTGAAATGGCGAGCTAATATGTGTAGCGAGTTCACCCATAAGAACTATAAAGAAATGGGTTGAGGGGTCGGGTTAGTTGCCCACATTCGGTAAACTATGAAAAAGAAACGAAAAAGAAAACCAAACCCCCTAGTGTTGGCTACTGCCGCAAAGGAATAATGGACTACGATCTGCAAATCTGCACTTAGAAAGTGCGCACGTTGTACAGAACATGCGCAGTTTTCGTTTTGGCGGATGTACTCAAGAAGTACATGGCCGATATTATTGTCTTAGTCCTGATTTATATTAGGCGAGTTTACTCGCGGCAATTTTTATCGTTCTCTTTTGAACTTGCTCCATGCGTCTATACAAGACAATTCGGTTTCCAAAAAATGTTTTTATTTGTTGTTTTTTCTCATTTAAATATATATAAAATGTCAACCGAATTGCTATAATCGGTATAAAAGCGAAATTCTTCTACATTAGTCTAATTTGCGCCCATGTTCCGACCGAAGGCAAAAATGAGCAGACCAAAGACATATTTTACGAGCGCCTACAAGCAGCACCAGATTCAAGCATCTCGATATACACAAGGCCACTTGGATTTTTCCCGATCGAAGAAGAAGAAATCAAATCGATCACGTTGTGATATACGGAAGGCATTCATCCAGTGTTTTAGACGTTCGAACGATCCGAGGAGCGAATATCGATTCGGACCACTACCTTGTAGCAGCCAAGGTTCGCACTCGTCTTAATGTAGCAGCAAATGTGCGATCTAATGTAACACGGAAACTCGACGTCGAAAAGCTTCAAACACAACAGATAGCAGAAGCTTACTCCACTGAACTTACCCAACTGCTTGAAGCTCAATGGCAGAGAATTGCCCACTCCCTACAAACTGCAGCAAAAGTAACACTTGGGTACCAAAAAGAAACCCGTGGTACGATCAGGAGTCTCGTAATGCTACTGATATGAAAAACGCAGCGATAAGGCAACACTGCGGACAGTAGCCACACGTAATGCGATGGAGAATTATCGGGAGAAAAGGAGAGAGGTGAAACGTTTGTTCAGAAAAAAAATAAGAAAGAGCAAGAAAAACGTGAGCGTGGGCAAATCGAGATGTTCAGGAGTCAGAATGAAGTCCGGAAGTTTTACCAACGAGTAAAACACCAAACCGAAGGCTTTGGTACAGACATGACGAAGGAAATCTGGTGACAGATACTAGCGTGCTGAGGATTTGGAAGAAGCATTTTCATAAACTTCTGGTATCAAATAGTAGCGGTGAAGAGGATACCCCTAGACCAATAATATATTACGGTATAGAGTGTATACCAGCTAGCCAAGATGAGGTCAGAATAGCAATCAATCGGCTGAAGAATTATAAAGCAACAGTTGCCGATGGGTTGCAGGCCGAACTATTCAAGACTGGTGGTCAGATGCTGGTAAGGAGCATGCACCAGCTAATTAGTACAATTTGGCTAGAGGAATTCATGCCTAATGATTGGAACCTCAGCATCCTGTGTCCCTTACACAAAAAAGGAGACAAGGCGATATGTGCCAACTATAGAGGAATAAGTCTCCTTCCCATCGCATATAAAGTGCTATCCAGCGTACTGTGCGAACGACTGAAGCCAATGGTCAATGACATTATTGGACCATACCAATCGGCTTCAGACCTGGTAAATCCATCATTGACCAGATTTTCACTCTGAAAATCCTGGAGAAACCCCACGAAAAACACATCGACACACTCCACCTATTCGTCGACTATAAAGCCGCATTCGACAGCCCTATCCGTTCAGAGGTGTATAAAGCCATGTCTGCGTTTGGCATTCCTGCAAAATTAATACGGCTATGCAGGATAAATGCATACCATTATGCTGATGACATCGACATGGTTCGAAGATTGAGAGCATTATATGGATCTGAAGCATGGGTACTTACGCAAGCAGGTGAGGCAGCTCTTGGATTGTTTGAGAGAAAAATCCTCCGAAAGATCTATGGGACGATCTGCGATGACGGTGAATATGTGCCAACTATGGAGGAATAAGTCTCCTTCCCATCGCATATAAAGTGCTATCACACAGTATGCTGTGTGAACGACTGAAGAAAATGGTCAATGACATTATTGGAACATACCAATGCGGCTTCAGACTTGGCAAATCCATCATTGACCAGATTTTCACTCTGCAAATTCTGGAAAAAACCCATGAAAAACATCAGAGGTGTTTAAAGCCATGTCTTAATTCTGCATTCCTGCATTATTAATTCGCCTATGCAGGGTAACTTTAGCTGGCACAAGATCAGCAGTTAAAGTCGGAAAGGACCTTTCGGAGCCCTTTAATACCGAACGAGAATTCAGACAAGGTAACAGTTTGTCGTGTGAGCTTTTTAACATCCAGCTGGAAAAGGTCATACGAAAGGCAAAGGTGAACAGAAATGGCACTCTGTACACCAAACAACACATGTTGCTCGCCTACGCCGATGACATCGACATAATGGGCCGAAAATTGAGAGCGTTAACAGCCACCTTTGAACAAATTGAGGAGGAGTCTGCCAAAGTGGATCTGGCAGTAAACGGCGAGAAGACCAAGATGATGGTATCAACGCGCAAGACGTCCAGTAGACTGTGAAACTTGATAACTACAGCTTCGAGGTAGTCAAAGATTTTATATACCTTGGTACCGCCATAAACAAAACGAATGATATCAGTTTTAAATTCGGAGAAGGATAATGTTGTCCAAAAGATGCTACTATGGTCTGAGCAAACAACTCAAAAGCAAGGCCACCTGCCGCCAGACCAAACTCACACTCTACAAGGCGCTGATACTACCCGTCCTGTTATATGGATCTGAAGCATAGGTACTTGCGCAACCAGATGAGGCAGCTCTTGGAGTTTTTGAGAGAAAAATTCTCCGAGTGATCTATGGGCCGATCTGCGTTGACGATGAATATCGCCGTCGAATGAACCATGAGTACCAGCTATTCTCGGACATTTTTAGACGTATTGAGCTGTAGCGACTACGTTGTGAGAATGGATAAAGATACCCCAGCCCAAAAGGCATATAAAAGCGAACCAGCTGATGGTTCACGCAGAAGGGGAAGTCCACGAATAATATGGAGAGATCAAGTGGAAGACAACATCTCGAAACATGGTATTTCGAATTGGATGAGTTGCGCACAAGGCCGACGTGGCTGAAAATATTTTTTTCGGCTTATGGAACAGCTAAGCTAAGTAAGTATTAATTTTTAGGCCCTCAGCTTTATGGCTAATGAGGATATATATACTTTAATGAGTTGTACCAGCTATTCTCGGACATAGGCATTTTTAGACGTATTGAGCTGTAGCGACTACGTTGTGAGAATGGATAAAGATACCCCATCCTAAAGGCATATAAAAGCGAACCAGCTGATGGTTCACGCAGAAGGGGAAGTCCACGAATAATATGGAGAGATCAAGTGGAAGACAACATCTCGAAACATGGTATTTGAATGAATTTTGCTTATTACTTCTGTGGACCACACAGGTTATTTGAAGGTTGATAATTTGCAGGCCTTTTAGAGTTAATTTGTATTATTTCTTTTTGGTTGCTTTCGAATTGTGTAATTGTCTCTCTAGTCTAGGTTTGCAGATTTTGCCTTCTAGGTTTTGCAGCTCCGCACAACCATAGGGTGGTCCGATAGAGATGAAATGCAGATCAATGTATGATTTAGAGACAATTTTTAGGCAATTCGTGGCAACTAAGTAACACACTATCATTCAAGATCTTCCTGGTTTTGTCAATTTGGACACTGGATATTGATTGTATCCACAGTCTATGAGTCTGACAATATGAGACCAATAGATACTAGGCCGTGTTGAATGGTGTTATTTTAATTTTAATGATTTTGAAGATTAAAATAAACTGTATATTTTTTGGTACGACTGCTCCTGTTGGCTGGTAAAATTGGAAAAGGAAGTTCCTCTGAAATTTTTAGCGTGGTCTCAGAATGATGTCAAAATTTGTTTGTCAGTGTTCTGATCAATAAGCGTTATCGATTTACATGTTCAGTAATGTAAACAAAACAAAATCGCATGCGAGAAAAAAGTTTTTGATGAACGGGAAAAGCGTTATATTTATTTTTTTTTTTGAAATTGAAAAAAGTCCATTACATGGACTACCTATTTATTGTACCATGATTTATACCATGATACAATAATAAGGTGATGTATCAAATCAAAAACCTTTGTTTTTTTCTGTCTATCAACATTTTCACATGGTTGGCAACATTGCACATCGAATTCAAGCAGAAATTACGAACTTAATCAAGTCATCAGCTGCGCTAAATTGACTACCTATTTATTGTGCCATGATCTATACCAAGCCTGTATAATATGTAGTACGTTTATATTTAACTGGATTATGTTAACCCGGTGTGTTTCATTTGCCACTTCCTTTGCCTATATGTCAAATAAATATAATGTGTATGTATATTCTATATACATCATGTTTTACGAACATTTAAATTTCATAACCAACAAAATAAACTTACCTCTCACTTTACTCCCGAAAAGAAAATAACAAATCCCAAATAATTATTTTATGTAAATTTTTTCGTTTTCT